CGCAGAAAATTCTAATGTATCACTTTCTACACTTTTGTAGGGGAAAAATCTGGGACAGCATGCCCCAGATGCTAAAGTCAATTGTAATCAAGGAAATATCCAGAAATATTTACAACTACATTCTAGAGAAACTTTGTAATTGTCAAAGTTTCCGCTCAGATTTGTGCTTTTTGCTTATGTAATAGCTTCTCAAGGCTCGCAACTCAACTTGGATTCTTTGATTTTTTCAATTTTTCATATTTTTCAAAAAAATCTTACTCATCTGAATTTCAGGAAAAATCCCTAAAGTTTGCTGAGAAGATTGGCAACATGGTCAACTTTGACCATGCTGGATCTGCCTGAAAAAAAAGTTAAATTACATGCATGGTGGGCAATCCAAATTTTGCTACACCAAAACATGTCAATAGCGACACGCGAGCTTGTGTGTATTGGTCACAAGTCCCTCCTTCGGAGGCTCGCTTCGCGAGTGGCGCCAGCCAGCCAAGGTCACCAGGCCCGCAGAAGCTTGGGACTTGTCTCAAGTTAGTTCAAGTTTGTGTTTCAGAGCTCTGGAATCCAAAATAAGCAGCCACTTTTCACTATCTACCCACTGTACAAGAGTTGAAGTGGTGAGCCAAACAGCTGAAAGAGTGATTCTGATTGGTCAGGTTATGTGGTGTTAATTACAAGTGAGTGTGGTGGTGTAAGCTCCGGCTGTCATTCAAGGAAAATACACTAATTTAGGCTTCAGGTATGATGTAATATGTAGAAGTGCAAGAAAAAATAGCTGTAGGTACTTTACTGAGGGTGCCTGTGTGTCTTGAGGGTTGTAATTGTGATTGGTGACATGTACTGGATGGGTGAAATCCTCGTGATGAGTTGTCCATTGTGGGATAAGTGTTGATCCAGGTGTGTTCCAATGACACCTCCATGGTGACCAAGGGTGAATTTATCTGTATCCAGTTCTTGAGCTGTATGGTGTTAGTATGGTGTGATTTCTGATGGATAGTGGATGATAATATGGAGAAAATATATATATAAGAAAATAAATAAAAAACTTTGAATTTTCACATTTTTGACTACCACAACGCCCATGTTTTGACTACTGGAAACTCAATGTGGGTACAGTGAATAACAAGTACCCCCTGCCTGCGACAATGGACCTTGTTGACAGCCTACTAGACACCAACACTTTCACCAAACTTGAACTGAGAAATGCCTACAGAAATCCAGGTGTTGTGGAGGGTGATGAGGAGAAACTAGCTTTAGTCTGCCAACAAGGACAATTTGCACCTCTGACAATGCCATTTGGACCAATGGGAGTGCCGGGCTACTTTCAATATGTCATGCAAGAAATCCTGTTAGGACGGATTGGAAAGGACACCGCATCTTACCTGGACAACAGCATGATCTACACGCAGAAGGGAACCAACCACAAAGCAGCAGTCATGGGAGTATTGGAGACACTTGGCAAGTATCAACTTTGGATGAAACCAGAAAAATGTGAATTCTCTAGGCTAAAAGTGGAATACTTGGGACTTTTGATATCATGTAACCAACTGAGCATGGACCCGACCAAAGTCAAAGCTGAATCTGAATGGCCGCCACCAAAGAACGTGACTGAACTACATTTTTCTATTAGATTCTCAAACTTATACCAGCAATCCATAGACCACTTCTCTAGAATAGCTTGACCTCTCCATGACTTGACGAAGGACAAAACTCCCTATGTCTGGGACAACTGGTGCAAAAAGGCTCTTGAGACTCTGAAAACCATGTTTAACACACAACATGTGCTGAAGATTGCATACCCATACAGGCCCTTTGCCCTCAAATGTGATTTCTCAGGCTTGCCCTTGGCTCAGTCATATTCCAAATCTGCAACAAAGACCAAGAACTTCACCCAGTGGCTTATCTATCCCGGTCACCGGTCCAATCCAAGAAGAACTATGAGATCTTTGACAGGTAACTTCTGGCAATTGTGGCATCTTTCAAGGAATGGCGACACTACCTAGAAGGCAACCCAAATTGCTTACAGGCAATTGTGTACACCAACCACCGGAACCTTGAAAGCTTCATGACAAGAAAGCAGCTGACAAGGAGACAAGAAAGGTGGGCTAAGACCATGGGATGTTTTTGAATTTGCCAACCAGGCCAAAAGTCATCCAAACCAGATGCTCTGTCCAGAAGACCGGACCTAGCACCATTGAAGGAAGACAAGCTTACATTTGGACCACTGTTGAAACCCAAAAACCATCACCCCCAACACTTTCAAGTTTGACTGCCGGTTTGAAAATGAGGCAGTGGATCTGCAGGACACCAATCATTGGTTTGACTTGAGATTTAAATCCTTGGTGTGGAGGAGCCCAAAACACCTGTGGAGGATGTTCTGATGGACAGAAAACTGATAAGCCAAATCCAATCCCTGACACCATCCAATAGCACACTGACAGAATTGATTACAGCCTGTGAAAGCCCAGTTTCCAGTCAAGTGAAGGAGGCCACCAAGCATTACTCAGTGAAGTATGGCTTACTTTACAGAGAAGGAAAAATTTAATTGCCACAAAATGAACTCAAGATGAAGATATTGAAAAGACACCACAAAAGCAACCCAGGAAGATCAAAGACCATTTTGCTGATACACTGCAGCTTCACATGGCCTTCCATGAAAATGTTTTTTAGCCACTACATGGATGGATGTGACTTGTGTCTAAGATTAAAGCCATAAAATCAGAAACCATTTGGAATTCTGGAACCACTGCCCATACCTGCAGGCCTGTGGACTGACATTAGCTATGACTTGATCACAGACCTTTCTTTGTCTTACAACTGGAACAGTATCCTGCCCGTGATTGATAGACTGACTAAAATGGCTGTCAGCCACAGAGTACATGTCAAATTACCTTTCATGTACCACGTAACTGCAACACCTGTACTTATTTACATAGGTAAAATATCCATAATGCTGCTTACCTTTACCTCTTCTTATCTTACCATTATTCTTACCTTATTATATTTATCTTATAAAATTTTATCTCATTCATATTTATCGTATTCATATTGATTACATATGAACTCAAAATATTATCTTATCTTTTAATTACTTATCAATTAAATACATGTCTGTTTTATACATAAGTAATTATCACTTCCCTTTCACTCATTTATCCGTGAAATACCTGTACCACAAGCTGTCCTTGTTCTACAGTATTTTAATGGTCAAATATAATTACAAATAAATATGTACTAGTACTGAATATTATTTGTTAAGTGTTAATAGAATTAATACATTCAATACATGCACTGATCACAATTATGAATTCATTATTAGAGGATCAGTTAAAGTGCACACATCAAGAGCAACTAGTGTATTGATCAACTAGTAAAAAATTATGATGTTACTCACTGATCATGAAAAATAATGGTCAGTCAATCAAATGATGTGCTCATTCTCCTGGCCAAAGCTCCCTTGATTCTGAGCCTCATTCTTCCCCTGATTCAATAATCTGGAACTTATAGTCCATGCCACTTTCACTGATTAATCCCCAGAATATTCAGGCACCAGTATCACACAGTTAACATTTATTTTGATCCTTTACACATAACCCAACTTGAATAGATCCTAGATTTATTGTTCTTAAGTTACAGTCAACAAATCTACGTATCCTTCAATTAACAATACTGTTAATCATCAACTGATTTTTGAAAGCTTAATAAGTAATGTTAGCCCATTCCCTTTTGGGAAATAACTAATCCCTGGTGAGTCTTAGTACCTTTGATGCCTATTGATACATTGTATTGATCCGGATGTGCTGTTGATAGCAAGCCTCTCAGTAAAGACCATTCTGATAGAGTGAAACCTCCTCTTTACAGGACAGGTATTAACACACACTACCTTACACTCACCACACTCAAAAACTTCAGTCAACATTCATAGTAACAACCTTTCTCAATAAATAACTCAGGTTAGTTACCCAGAGGCTGAAATTTGCCCAATTCCCCCCTTGCAACAAAACCATGAATTCAGAACAAATCACTGATCTTAAGCTGAATTAGAAGGTCTGGAAACTCCACAGCACACCAAAGAAAATTTTCTTGGATAGAGGAAGTATCTTCATCTCCCAAATGACACAGGAGCTGGACAAACAACTTGGAATCCAGCTGCACCCTTCAGTAGCCTACCACCCCAGGACCAAACTATTTAATACAATCCCCTCGTTTCAGGGGCCAGGGGACCGGTGCACCAGGGGTGCCTTGCGAAGTGAGCCTCTGAAAGAGGGGCTTGGGAGGCAAGTCATTCACCGCGCCTGAGTGGTTCTGGTTTTTGGGGGAATTTTGAGGTCTTACGGATAAGATGTCTTAAAACCAGAAGATGAACCCTCCAGAGGAATCAGTCAAAAGCCCCAGAGAGACTTTGATCTTGTCTTCCCGCTTGTGTGAATTTTACTTTAACATGCCTCAGTCCTTACCTCTTTTCCAGAGGTAAAGCCCGACTTTCCTCTTTTGAAAGGGAATCACGGTAATCCATAGAAAGCTGTAAACATCCTGTATTCCTGCAGGTGGAGAGCTTTCTGGAATATCAAACTGTACATTTACAGAGTAGTTCAATCCTTACAAGCCCAAACAGTACATATTATATTGTTTTGTAAAGGTACATCATCCCATCTTATTTGAGGTGAGATAACCGCCCAGAATCCAACCAAAGCAGCAAGTCCGCAAAGATTTTTTCACCAGAGATCCATCATCCAACAATTCTTCTGGTCTCATCCTCAACAATGCTTTTGACCTCATCGCCAAAAAGGATCTGGACCCCTACTGGGATTAATGTCTACAAGAAGGTTTACAAAAAGAGCAATGCAAAATTGATTGAACACATCAAACAAACATCCTTCAGTACTTACTGCCAGCACGCAAAAGAAGAGCAAGTCAAGGCCTTTTTCGAACTCGTGAAAGGTCGCAACACTTTTCTTTTGGTGGGGACCGGTTTTGGGAAGTCTTGAATTGCGGAAATTTCTTACAAGATGATTCCACAGAAGTCCCAGGGTGTTGTACTTGTATTGAATTCACTCGACTCTCTAGGTGATAATCAGGTGCTAGATAAACAGCAAGCTGGATTTACAGCAATCAACCTGACCAAGCTTACTTTCAACCCGGACATTGCACAGGAGATTATGGAGGGTGTATACCAATTTGTTTACTTCAGTCCAGAAATATTCCTCAACAGCAAGCTATTTGAACGATGTTACTTAATCACTGAGTTCCAAAACAGACTTGCCTTGATTGTGGTTGATGAGGCCCATATGGTCTATGTATGGGGTCTTGTAGAAAGCTCAACCTCAAAAGCATCAACTTCAGCCCACTTTTGCTTTGAGGACTACAGAATTTTTGGTCCTTCATATGGTAAACTCGGGGCCCAGATCTTATTTTGGAATGATAAACCAATCTTGTTGCTCTCTGCAACTTGCTGTCTGGTGGCCGTTGAAGCAATCAAGAAGAGTTTGAAGTTGAACAACAACAGCATTGACATGATACAAGCCGAGTTAACTAGACCTGAGATTTGAATGATCTGACTAACAATGGAAAAATTGCTGGCCTCCTTGCTTGACGTCATAAGGCTTTTCCCTTCACACAAACATGTGGCTGATTCCGACATGGTTCCCTCTTTGGTTTATAGCGGCTCCCGTAAACGAATGTTGACCATGTTGAAAGTCATTGACAGAGCTCGCGAGAGCCCAGGCGGCACTTTCATCCCAAACAGTCTCTGTGCCTGTCAATTTCATTCTTGTCAGCTGGCTATTAAGGCAGAGACAACCTGTCATAGCAAATAAAAATAATAAAGCCCAAAAAAAAATCCAAGGATAAATCAAAAATATTACATAAGTCAAAGAAACAACTGACTTATGTAAATAAGATAAAAAATACACACAAATAAAAGAATAACTTAAAAAGTATAAACAAAACCTCAAATATTATTCAGAT